AAAAGAGAGAAACCAGCTTGGAATTGAGGGAAAGAGATTCTGAGCCTCTGGATTGGAAGGTTGGAGCAAACGGTGGACTGAGCTTCGATGGAGAAGGGAAATAGCATAGCCAGGAGAGTCATTGCCTCTAGAGACCTCTGAAAGGGGAGAATTCCAACAAAAAAGAAGTCTCAAGGAAAGGTCAGCTCTCCCCCCACTCCCCCAATTTTTGTTCTGTGGAACCTGTCTGTCCACAGACATTATGATATATAACGGTGTTTTCTTGTCCAGATGTTTCCAGGAAACTGAACTTTGCCTCATTCCTAAAAAGATCAGGGGTTAACTAGGATAGATGCAAATGTAAAGTTACTTTTAACACCTCTGCCTAGATGTTAGGAATTTTCCTAACTGGGGGCATTGTGACTGAACTCCGAATTTTTTTAAATCTAAAATAAACCCCCTAAAACCAAAGAGGGAGGAAACCAGTTGGACCTTAGAGGCTTAAAAGAAGCTAATCATTGTAACAGGATGTTACAGGAGAATCCCCTGCTGTACCCTTGGCATCAAACTTCCACGAGCCATCCCCTCTGACTTTGGACATTTTTGCTGATTTCAGGCATCCCACCCCCCCAATCTGTTTTCTCTTATAAATAGCCTTAAATAAGACCCTTTTATAACCACTCCTAGAGCCCTCAAGATCCTCTTAACGGCCATCTCAGCAATCATTTTCTGTTCCCCTTCTCTAATACTCAGGCTGAATTTCTGCTGAAGGTTCCTTCTTTTGCTCTTTAGGTAGGCACTGGCCCTTCACAACAGTTCTTCCCATGTCCCTCACAACTTCTTTTTCTCCCATTCCTCCTCCTTGGTTTGTCTCATTGCCCAGCTCCTCAATAATCCACCTTTATTCTGTAGTATTTTCATATCCCTACTTCACTTGGGTAGTCTATATTTTATGATCTTTCTCCAGAAGCTCTCCTTCCCAATTATACTATGTGTGGGACAGACCTAATATTCAGTAGTGAAGAAACAAACAGCTTTCAAAACTATAAATGAATTCCCATCTTTTGTTGTTTAACCAAGAGAAGATATGGTTCCACCTTGGAAATTTCAAGTGGAGATGAGCGTTTGTTGAGACATTATGAGGGCGACACTTTTAACACACACCTGTAATTCCTGCTGCCAGGGAGGCAGAGACTGGTCATGGCTCCTGTGCCAACCTGGGAAAGATAGGGAGACCCAGTCTCAAAAAACTGAAACAAAATAACATAGGGAAGGGATGGCTCCCTGGGGGGAGGATACAAGGGGAAATTTAGGCAACGGGAAAACAAGAAGACAATCAAAAAAATTTTATTTAAAAACCAACAATAATGGACTTTATTGTTCAACATTGAAATTATGGTGATCAAATCAAAACACTGATTTGAAATGAATGTACCTTAAGTCTTTAGATTTTCTTTTTCCTGGTTGAATTGGCAAATTAGAGCGCTAATACCTCAAGCAAGGTGATTTTCTTGTGTCTTTTTATATACCCAAGAATATTAGTTCTTTGTGATAATATTAGAAGTTGTTGATAGTTGCCTAGTGGCCCTCTAGGTTATGTTGATTGTGTCAACATAGTGCCAAAACAACCTATCAGTTTTGTTTAAAAAAAAAAAAGGTCAAAGGCAAACTTGTTCTGGCAGCCATAATCATTGTTCTCTGACATCACCATTCTGGTTCTTGCCAGGATTTTTCTAGGTTAGAGACTGTATACTTACGTCGGGCTGTGACCACTACTTGCCCCACCTCTTCCTACCCCTGTTTATACAGTTTACTGCCCGTAGTTAATATGTTTAGTATACCTTCCACCTGTATATCTCACAATCCTTCTGTGATTTGGTAGATAGCCTTGGAGGACAAGGATTTGTGGTTTTCTCAATGCGGGAACTCCCTCCACCTACCTGTGACCAATTGTCTATACATAACTGAGGAGGCAGGTTTTGAGTTGCCTCGGATTGTTAAGTAACTCAGAGGTTAAGTAACTTGCCCCATAGTCATAATATCAAGGGGGAAATTTTGAGCCCAGGTTTTCATTCAGTCACCAACACCCCCATCCACTATACCACACTGCCCCATCCTGGACAATTTCTGTGGCCAAAATAGTCACCTTGTGGCCAGCCTGATAATGAGCATGTCCAGTGGTAAACCCTTTCCAGTTTGGTAGGATCTGCCAGAACTTGTGTTCCACTGACGCAGCCTTTGAGAGTCCGGGGTTAATAGTAGCAACAACAACAATAACAGGTAACATTTCTGTAGTGCTTACTATGTGCTGGGCACTATGCTAAGTGCTTTAAGATTATTATCTCATGTGAGCCTCAAGACAACCCTGGGAGGTTAGTGCTATTATTAGTCCCATTTTACAGATGAGGAAACAGACAAACAGCTATTTAAGTGATTTACCCAGAGTCACACAGCTGGTGAATGTCTAAGGTCAAATTTGAACTCAGGCCTTTCTGACCTTTCGGCCCAGCCCTCTAACCACTGCTCCACCTAACTGGTTAGCTACCTGTATGCCATAAGGAAACATCTAGGTAGGGCTTTCAAGGAGGTCTCAGTATTAGAGCGATAGCTCACATTCATATAATACTTTATTTTACAGATGAGGAGATAGGCTCACAGGGGGGATGTGACTCGATTGGGCTTACATAGCTAATAAACATCAGAGGTGGAATAGAGGGAGAAAGTAATTTTTGTTTGGGAATTGGGTTAGGATCCTCCCCCTCCCCATCGCGCCCCCCCCACACACATTTTTTAAGCACTCTAAATCAAAAGAAGACTGGTAGGATTTTTTCCCTGAACCAGCCTCCAGAGGGCAATATGGTCCTGGATGTTTTAAGTGATCTGACTCCTGCCCAGACTTAAATAGCTAGAAGAGAATGGGTAGGATTGCTTTGGGGAATTGGACAATGCCTTTAAATGAGCCCTGTGCTTCTCTCTGGGGGAAAAAGGGCCCATCATGGAAGGCCACCCAGCGCCTTGGGTGGTGGACTCCCTGTGGAAGATTTTCAGGAGAACATGCTTAGCAGTTGCATAAGCTCAGAAAATGTGGATGGGTTGTCATTAGCATTGTCGAAGGGGGTATGGTACATCACTGAGACTCATCAAAGTATTATTAAAAGAAAACACTGATTAGAAAGAGTCATCATGGCTTCACCCCAAACCAGTCTAGTCATGCCAGACTAATCTCATTTCCCTTTCTTTGGTAGACTAGTAGAGTAGGTGAATGCTGTAGATACAGTTTGCCCAGATTTTTAGGCCAACATCTGACAACATCTCTCATGCTGGTCTTAAGGATAGATGGAGAAATCTGCTTCTTTGGAGGGACAACCCACCTCAGGGAGATTAAAGCTCCATCAAAGTATTTAAAAGGCCCCAGCCAATAGGGGGCAGTGGTGTATGCCTGAAAATCTGTGAAATTTGATGAAGACAGCGGCTGATATTTACACAACACTGAAGTTTGCCAGTTGCTCTATGCACATTATCGATTTTGGTCCTTACCCTGTGAGTGTAGTACTACAGGAATTATTGTCTCTATTTTGCACATAAAGAAACTGAGGCTTAGAGAAGAGAAATAAATGACTTGCACATTGGTCACAGAACTCCTGAGTGGCAGAGGTGGAGCTCAAACTCTGATTCACCCCTCAAGTCGGCTGATCTAGTTATATTTGTTATTGTAAACAAAATCGGTTACTATTTTTTGTTGGGCAAGAGAATAGACTGAGAAACCTTCAAAGAGCCATTCTTTTAACTTTCTGATCGTCGACTTGAAATGAGAACTAACTATGGATGCTTTGACTATATAGCAATCCATTTATTTGTGTATGAATTTGATAAATATACATATTCAACACCATGTTTTTCCCAGTCAATGACTGTATTTAACAATTGTGATACACAGGCTTTGGTATTATAAATATTTTAAAATTAGTAGCAGGTTTGACCATCTCTTTCCTCAAAGGGCAAGTAAAAATACCATTTTCTTCCTTGTAGTACATATGCTAAGATTATTTTGATCCCACTAATTAATTTGCTCACTTAGTGTGACAGCCACTAACCTAGTTTAGCCCTTTATCACCTCTTTCCTTGACTAGTCTAATAGCTTCCTAATTGGTCTCCCTGCTTCTGGTCTCTCCCCTCTCCTATCCATCCTCCACATAGCTGCCAGAATCATTTTCCTAATGCCCAGCCAGGTCTGTTCAGAAGAATTCAATGGCTTCTTATTTCCTCAAATAAAACCAGAACTCCTTAGCCCTCCACAATTGGATGCCACTTCTTTGTTTGTTTGTTTGTTTTTAGGCAATTGGGGTTAAGTGACTTGCCCAGGGTCACACAGCTATTAAGTGTCAAGTGTTTGGTCTGAGACTGGGTTTGAACTCAGGTCCTCCTGACTTCAGGGCCGGTGCTCCATCCACTGCACCACCTAGCTGCCCCCTAGGGTGCCACTTCTTCAGTGAAGTCTTTTCTGATCTTTCTTGTTAGTGCTCTCCCTCCTAGAAGTGCCTCATATTTACTTTTGTTAGGGATGTGGTTCAGCCCTGTAATTTCATTGGTATATGCAACTCCTGGATAAGGAATCTCCACATATCAATGCTAGCCAGTGCGTCCTCTGAAACCGAGAGGCTAGAGAGTTACCTGGGGTCCTGAGGGATTCAGTGTGGTTTGCCCAGAGTCACACAGCCAATATATATCAGAGGCAAGACTTGAACCCACCTCTTCTCTGACTCCAACACCAGCCCTCTATCCACTATAACTATGCCATGCTGTCTCTCCGTTTGCTTTAGCATACATATTATTGCCCCTCTCCCCTAGCAGAATCTAAGCTCCTTGAGGACAGGGATTATTTTGGTTTTTGGCTTTGGCAACACCTAGCCAAGTACCTGGTAGATAGTAGATGCTTAATAAATATTTGTGGAATCAAATTGACAGGGGCATCTGGTATGTTTTCTGTTTTTCTATTCCTTAATGAAATGCTTTCTTTTTAGGACAGGTGGACAAGCATCACTTTCCAGAGAAGATGACTTTTAAGAGTTTTGAAGATTCTAAAACTTGTGTACCTCCAGACATCAATATGGATGAAGATTTTGTAGAGGAAAAGAATAGATTAAAAACATTTGCTAATTTTCCAAGTAGTAGCCCTGTTTCAGCATCAGCACTGGCACGAGCAGGTTTCCTCTATACGGGTGAAGGAGATACCGTACAGTGCTTCAGCTGTCATGTAGCTGTAGATAGATGGCAGTTTGGAGACTCAGCAGTTGGAAGACATAGAAAAGTATCCCCAAACTGCAGATTCATTAATGGTTTTTATTTTGAAAAGCATGCTACGCAGTTTTCAAGTCCCATTATCCAAAACTGTCAGTACAGAGTTGAAAATTGTTCAAGGAATATAAATCATTTTGCTTTGGAGAGACCCCCTGACACTTATGGGGAGTATCTTTTGAGAAGAGGGCAGGTTGTTGATATGTCAGATACCATATACCCAAGGAACCCTTCCATGTGCAGTGAAGAAGCTAGACTGAGATCTTTTCAGAACTGGCCAGACTATGCTCACCTTACCCCGCAGGAGTTAGCGAGTGCTGGCCTGTATTACATGGGCATTGAGGATCAAGTGCAGTGCTTTTGTTGTGGGGGCAAGTTAAAGAATTGGGAACCTTGTGATCGGGCAATGTCGGAACACAAGAGGCATTTCCCTAAGTGTTTTTTTGTTTTGGGACGGGATGTTGGTAATACTCGAATTGAAACGGATCTTAGTTGTGATAGGAGTTATCCAAACCCTACCCATCTCCCAAGGAATCCAGCCATGGCAGAGTATGAAGCACGACTCATTTCCTTTGCGACATGGATTTACTCAGTTAACAAGGAGCAGCTTGCAGAAGCTGGATTTTATGCTTTAGGTAAACTTTGTTATTAAACTAGACTAATAAATCCTTCCAGAGTTACTCAATTTTTTAAGGAGAAAAAAGGGAAAGGGATGCCCCCTGGGTTGGTAAATACTTAATAACCATGCCAACTTAATATTCAAAATTATTTCAGCCTAATTCAATGGGCAGTTATATTGGCTTTGTAATGTTAACATTTATGTTTATGCAGGAAGAACTGCCACAGTAGAATGGCATTTAATATATTTTAGGGGAGGGGTGACATTTGAAAGGCCTTTAATGTCCATGATATAAAATCAGCTCTGGTGGTAGAGCTGGTTCCACTTCTTTTAACCTTGCCATTTAATTAGAGATTGTGAATGATCCCGTTTCAAGATTGTCTGATTTTGACTACTCTCTAAGAGAAAGCAGCACTATATTATGCTATATTGTGGGAAATAGATTTCTTTAAAGAAAAATCCTGCCACATAAAAGGCCATGCACAAAACAACACTGGGTTGGTTGAGACTTGGGTTCTTTCCCCAGCTTTGCTGCTAAATCATAGTGTCTGGGGGCAATTCACAATCCCTGTAGACCTCAGTTCCCTCTAAATGAGGGGTTTGGATTGGATTCAATCAGTATCATAAGTATATTAACTTCCAGGAACACTTTTTAAATTATGCTGGTTTTTTTCTCTTAAATTAGTCTTTTTTTCAATATCCCGTCTCTAAGTATTAGGCTAAATAATTCCAAAACAAATCTGGTTGGTTTAGTTTAAAAAATGTTAATTATTCTGATTTTTATTCACAAAACAATAAATAGGTAGCTTAAAGTAGTGGGTTATTTTTTTTTAACCTGAATTGACTGAAAGTGTCATATAGATATGATTTTAGAGTGATTCTTGTGGAGAATTTGAATGGAATAAGCATTTATTAATTACCCACTATGTGCTAGGCACATATTTACAAATATTATCTTATGTCATTCTAACAACAACCCTACGAAGTAGATGCCATTGTTAGCTCCATTTTATAGTTGAAGAAACTGAGACAGACAGAGGTTAAATGACTTACCCATGGTCACATAGCTAGTAAGTGTCTGAGGCTAGATTTGAACTCGGGTCTTCCTGATTCTAGGCCCAGCACTCTTATCTATTGCACCACCTGTTTGCCTCTGCATTTAGCTGGATCTCATGAGTACTTGCAATATATGTTCTTTTGAATGCTAGCATGCTAATTTAATCATCAGCTTGCTCAAAGGCTGAATTATTCTCAAGTGAGAATTGATAAATATTAAAAACACAAATGTACCATGTAAGACATCTTCTTGAATAAAAAGTTGAATTTGGCATTATAAATTTTTATTATTTGGCTCCTTAAAATTACCTGAAAAGCAAATTAGTCTAAATAATAAAAGAGAATTTTTCCCCAGGTTACATAAATGTATCAATTATTTGAATCTTTTTTTAAAGCAGGCACTTTTGTATATGAGTTAGCAGAAAGAAAGTCAATTTTTCATTTTCAAAAGCTGATGTTTCTGTGTAAGTTGCCACTTCATAAGCATGTCTATGTGTGCTTGTGTGTTTTCTCAGGTGACCGTGATAAAGTAGCATGCTTTCATTGTGGAGGTGGACTTACTGATTGGAAACCCAATGAAGACCCTTGGGAGCAACATGCTAAGTGGTATCCAGGGTAAACTGCTTAAATATTCATATGGTAACAGGAGGAGAGGTGGAGTATTTACACTTCGAAGGCTTAATCCTTGCCACTTTATTAAATATTCTTACCATCAAAAAAGGCATGGATTTCATGCCCAAATGACAAAAATCAGGTCACCTACTTTACAGGATACAATCTCTGGTTATTAAAATGTTCATCTTTTGTATATGACTAGTTATGCATCTCCCATCCAGATGCACGAACTTCTCACTCTCCAAATTACAAATACTTCCTTGGAGTAGACTTTCTTAAAATATGATGAATGCCAGAGTTACCAGAGAGACCCTTCAGAACCAAACTCATCTCTAGGAGATATACAAACACTTGTCTATCTTTGCCCCTTGAGTATATTTTTCAGAAGGAAAACTCTTGTGCAGGTAGAGATACAGAACCAAAACATAATCCAGTTAATATGAGGGGGCATCATGGGTTTGCATCTAGTGTTGGAGAGATGTGAAATTTGTCAGGAATGCGCCATCCTTTGGTGTACATTAACCCAAAGTAGAAGGCTTCAGGAATTTTATTTTTCTAAATCTGCAAAAAACAGAGAGAGAGAGAGAGAGAGAGAGAGATTGAGATTTGTTGGTAATGAGTGGGAGTTGTTTTTGCATAGCCAAAATCACAGCCAATTGTCCCCTTGCAGTGAGACATGTCAGACTTCTAAGGTTACGAATATAGGATTGGTTACTAGCTGGAATACATGATGAGTTGTAACATCTACTCTGAAAATGAAGAGGAAAGCTGAATAGTTGATCATTCAGTACTATTAAGCCCCTTTTATACTACTGTTTTGAGTATTTGTAATAAACTACCTGCACGTTCAGAGTGACCATTGAGAAATAAAATTTAACATTAAGAGGAAAGGCTGAAAAGCTTACAAAATTACTTTGAAATGTTTAATTGGACAACCTTTTAGATAAGAGTCCATTAATAGGAAACTCTTTAGGATATCCTTCTGTGGTGCTAATTTAATGACATTCTTGTAAATTGAATATTCTTAAGTAAGAGCATTTATTACTCTAATAATATATCCTAGCATGTATGTTGTAATAAATAGAATATATTTTTATTATAATGACTAATGGGTTGCCAATATTTATTTGATTACTTAGTCATGTCTAAAAGCAAATTGATGGCATTAGATGGTATAGATTTTGAACTTATTTATAATTTCACAAGTTGTCCGTTGGTACTAAAGCTTAACCTTTAATTCTATAGATGTAAATATCTTTTAGAAGAGAAGGGCCAGGAGTATGTCAACAATATTCATTTAGTGTATCCACTTGACAATTCTGTGGTAAGTTTTGTAAAATGATCTATTTTGTCAATTATATGGTGGTTTTACAATTTTTTCTCTTGTTAAATTCATAATATGGCATTTCAGAGGGAGGTGGGGAAGACTTTGAAAAATGAATTTTATTCTCTACCTAAAGCAAATGTGTAAATGTCAGGATAACATGATTATTATGAGCCAGAATGTAAGCTTAGAGAATTAAAAATTTTGATTTCTCCCCTCCTGCCAAAATCAAGGGTTTTCCAGAAGTGGCCCATAGCCTTGATTGTGTCATATCCTGACGCCCCCCCCCCAAAATAACAATAACAAAACTACTTGCTGAACAAGATTTAAAATCAAAAGCATGAAACTCAATTCATGGAATGAATTCTGAGTAAAGCAAGTTTTATACATTCGTGGCATATATAACTTGAAATGATTTCTTCTAACAAAAAGATTCTAACCCAAGTTCATATCTCTATTTAGGTAGAATCTGCCAAAAAAACTTCATCAGTAACTAAAGAAATTGGTGAGTAACTTCATCAAAATAATACTGCCCTTAAGTATCTCTACCAGTTCATTATTTGATCCTTTTTTTTACAGAGAAAATCATATAAATAGCTGCTGTGCTATATTTGTGGGATTACGAATTGGAGGAGATTCCCTGAAAGTTCAGCTTGCCAATACTTACAGTGCCGTGGCTTGCTTAGGGAGCATTTGTAAGGCACTTCTTTCCCCTACCTCCACCCCCGCCATACCCCACACGTGGCACTCACTTATGGGGGAGTAAAGAAAGTATTCCAATCACTCTTGTCTAGAGCTATTCAAGCACTTTTCTCTTGGCAAGACTTGAAATTGTTTATTCTATTCATGCACCATAGTTATTGACTTTAACAACTGAGCTCTTCTTTATCCTGTGCTATCTATGAGTTGACCCCTCTCCCCTTTTTCACGAGATCTTGACAAGACTAGATCTCCATCACCACATGCAGAGGCTTTAGTGAGCAGCTGGTAGGGATATTCATCACAGATTGTATGTCCGTTATGAATCCAGGCTTTAGAATCCGGGATTAGCAGTGGGGGGATAAATAGTTTACATTGTCAGGGGGGACAAACTGAAGTTGATGGAACTTACCCAGAAAGTACGCAAAGCTTCTCAGCATTTATTAAGTGCCCACTATGTGCCAGGTGCCATGCTAGGAGCTAGAGATGAGACAAAAATAGAGACAAAAATGCCACAGTACTTAGTACTTAAGGTGCTTCTGTGCTCTTGGGGAAAGCATATACGGGGTGTTCCAAAGGTCTTAACACAGTTTTGAGCTATTAAAGTTTAAAACTGTGCTAAGATTTTTGAGGTTCTGTGTATAAGTAGATATAAAATATGTGCAAAGTAAATACCAGGTGATTTCATGGGTGGGGAGTCCCAAGAAACTGGGGGATGGGCAGTGGGGTAGGAATCAGAAAAGGCCTTACATAGAAACTGGTCCCTGAGTTTTGAAGGAAGTTAGGGATTTTCATTCTTTCCCTCTTATACATGCCTACATATTATATTCTCTTTATGCATGCTTTTATTACTTGAACTTGAAAATTGACAAGATACTGATTCTGTGAGGTTGAAAGAATTCTGGAATTTTATTCATCATCACAATGTCTTTTCGTCCACTTCATAGACGCTACGGCCACTTTATTTGATCCTCATAATAGCCCTGTGAGGTGGGCAAGTCAGGTTATTCATTTCCTTCTTTTATGGATGAGGAATCGAAGGTTCAGAGGTTGTGGTTTGCTCAAAGTAGCTGGTAAAGGCAGATCTAGAACCCGAATCTGGGTCTTCTAACTCTCCTGTATCTTTGTTAGCTTTCAGAAAAGTGACAAGTAGGAAGTTTAATTTAGGATTCAGCTATCTGACAATTCCCATTTCCTGTAGTTGCTGTGGCAGCATTTATTTCATATCTTCATTACAAAGGAGAATAGTTTTTATTCATAAATATGGTTGAGAAAGACAAGAGAGCTATTATGTTGTTACTTAATATAAGAGTTGCAAAGGGCATGGGCAGTATGTGGAATGTTATATGAAGCTGATGTGCCAAAAGCACATTACAGTAAAATACTCGATATAGTTTGGCAGCCATGATAATGTAGAAAAATATATTAATAAATGAGTTTAGGGATGAACCCTTTAAAAAACTTTTGAGCATATAAGAAGATAAAATAAGTACATTAGATGAATTCTTATTGTGTATGAAGTTCCAATTATACTTGAATGTATTAATAGACATATCATAAAACTAGAAAGACCTTTTAGAGGTCATCTAGTGCAGCCTATATTTTTAAGGCTCTCCAAATATGGAGAGTCCATGACCTGCCTTGGAAACCAGTTCTAATATTTAGTTCACCATACTGAGAACAAAGCATTCCTTGAACTCTTGCTGTAATTTAAGCTCCTTTTGCCATTGTCCTAGCTCTCACACTTGCTAGCATTTGAGGCAAGTCTCATAACTTCTTTCAGCCTCAGTTTCCTCATCCAAAGATGGAAATGTTCATACTTAACAGGCTGCATAATGCTAGTACCTTGAATATTTCCACATCCGGACCTATTTAGCTTTCATTTATTTTTTTTCTTCCCTTCTAGACTTCAATAAGCTTCTTAAATCTTAAGACTAAAACTTAACACAATGTTGAGTTTTATTTATATGTATAACAAGAGCTTGAGCAATACTAAAAAACTGTCTTATATCCCAGTATCTTAGCTATTTAAGCACTGTACCATTAATTCAGTTTTAATTTATGGAGAAGTTTAAGAAGATTTGGCATAAGCTTTCTCATACATACGTCCTGTACTTCCTGGAAATAGTTTCTTAAATCTCACTGGCAGACTGCTTGTGGGTGATTTCAACTCCAGAGTTGATTGTTAATAGTTTGTGTTTCTTCTTTTGGAAATTGTTTCTTTATATTCTTTGACTGTTTATCTGTTATGGACTAACTGGCTCTTTGTGTGTATTTGTGTCAATTCCCTATATATCTTGGAAATCAGACTTTTATCAGAAGCATTTGATCCAAAGACCTTCCATATCCCCACCACCTCACCCCCATAGCTTCTCTTATTCTAGCTGCCTTGATTTATTGGTGCAAGAGCTTTAAAGTCTCATCATCATCAAAATCATCTTTGTATGTGTGTGATCTCCTATTCCTTGTTTGGTTATGAATTCTCCCCCTAAATATAGTTGTGAAGGGTACTTCCTTTGGTTCTCATGTATTTTTTTAAATTATCTTTTATATTTAGTTGCTTATCCATTTGGAGCTTACGTAGAGTGTGGTGTAGAGTACTAGTCTGAATCTATTTTCTGCTAAATGGTTTTTTGGTTTACCTAGCAGTTCTTGTCAAATGGGAAGTCCTTCCACTAGGTCTTACTTTTCTTATCTCTTCCACTGATTTGTTATTTAAACCAAATAATTTTCATAATTTCTGCTTTATGGTGTATTTTACAATCTGGTGAAACTATAACTTTCTTAGTGAGTTTGAATTATAATTGTAATGAAATTGACTATGATTATACTGTAGGTTATCGTTCGTCACTTCCAATTTTCATTTCAGATGATAGTGTGTTACAAAATCCTTTGGTACAAGATGCAATACGAATGGGTTTCAGTTTTCATGAGATTAAGAAAATTATGGGAGAAAAGATAAAATCGTCTGGAAACAACTATAAATCACTTGAGGTTCTCGTAGCAGATCTCGTGAGTGCTCAGAAAGAAAATACACAAGAAGGAGAATCAAGTCCAACCTCATCGCAGAAAGGTAATAGTCTGCTTTATGATTTAAAAATCAAATGGAACCTCACATCAATGCTTGTGGCTCATTGCCTATTTGTGAGTTTTGGAGGCTTTTTGGTTGCTAACTCAGGTACCAATTTAAAAGTAAAATACAATGGTGGAAGTTAACATTTGTTATATGTGGAACCTAGGAAAAGATAAGTATTGTAGCTGAAAATTATTTTTTAGAGTATTCTTCCATGTTTCATGTTCCTTGAAAAAAGCATTTTACTGAAAGAAAATGCCAAAGTAAATGAACTTCCTGTCTATTGCTTAGATGTGCCAAATCTGACATATAGGGTGATCATTCCTGGAAGGTCAAAATAATTCAAGGGGTAGGAAGAAATAAGGTGATTTAAAGAGACGTACAGATAGGAAGCTTAGGTGAAGGAAGTAGTGTCTCCTACAAGGAAGTAGTGTCTCCTACATATTGCTTGATATTCTCTGCTCACAGGTTCAAAAGAGATCTCTGCTGTCTCCTCTAGAAATTATGCAGCATAATGCTGTAGTTATCAAGCTAATGGCATTTGTCAAGGTCAGACACAACAACCAATCAAGAACGTAGGTGGAATTCTGCAGTGGGCCTCTCTCCTTTATTTTATTTTATTTATTTTATTTTATTTTATTTTTACTAAATGAAGAAGAGAAATTGATGATCGCTGTCTTGATAGTGCTACACTTACTGACTGCCTCTCTGCCCAGGAGCTGTAGGAAGAACTCAGTAGCAAGAATCTTTCATTTTGTCAGTCTGTTGCTCCTGCAAAACAGGAAGGTAGCAAAGGTAGTGGGAGCTTGAAGCTAAAGAACTACAGAGAAATCAGTACAGCTTACTAATTGCAGAGGGACAGCTAATGACTTGGGGCTGCCATCCTTCGTCCTGGGTCCACCATTTGTTCTCTCCTCACAGCTGGCTGGGTGGCTGGGAGTAGTCCTAAGCTAGCTAACGAAGCTAGGGATCAGGACAGAATCTCTCTCTGGTTGCCCAGCCCCCCTTAATGTATGTGCCTCTTTTTGTTACTGACCATGAGGTAAAGTAGAAGGTGTGCAAATTTTGAGGAGGTTGACCTCTGAGCTCCTTTCCAGGTCTAGGTCTATGAGCTTGAAAGTGCTCTGCAAACATATCATCTCTCATCAGTAAAAGGAAGCCCAGTGTAGTGAAGAGAGGGCCAGTATTGAAGTCAGGAAGATTGGCATTCAGGTCCTACCTCTGACATATCCTCTGAACCCATGGACAAGTCACTTAACCTTTTGGTGCCCCCAGTAACTCTATAAGTCTGTAAGTTGTGGATAAGTCATTTCTGGACTTCAGGGGAGGGAGCTGATGAAATCACAGTTGAACCACTTCCCCCCAAAAAACTCCCCAACAACAAGTTATTAGTTTGGCTGGTCTTCAGATGACTGGTACAAGGCCTTCTGCCAGATCTTTATTATACAGTGCCTGGCACTGAGCCTGTACTTACTCTCTTTCTTTCTCTCTCTCTCTCTCTCTCAACATTTATTATTTTATTTTGAGTTCCACATTCTCTCCTTCCCTCGAACCCCTCCCCCACCCATGAGAAGGCAAGCGATATGATACCCATTATACATGTGAAGTCATGCAAAACATATTTCCATATTAATCATGTTGCTGAAAAAAAGCAAGAAAAACCAAGCACATGAAAAAAAATTATGCTTCAATCTGCATTCAGATGGACTTACACTCTCAGTGTAACTTGTTCCCATAAATCTCTTACTAATCTGCCCCTTCTACCTGGGTACCTGTTGGTAGAAACAGTGAGTGACTCCGGCTAATTCTAGGGCTGATACAGAATAACATAATTGGAATGGCAGTCAGGAGCATAAAAGCCTATCTGGCCTTTTCTTCTCACTCTTCAGCCTCCATGCCAATGGTCTTGTGACTTGGCACAGAGGACTTAGGGAGGAAACAAAGAAGGGAGAGAAGTACAGTAGGGAAAGATAAGAAGACATGCAGAAGCAGTGTGGGGGTACCAACCAGGAGTACCTGGGACACTGGACTGGGAGTCAGAAAAACCTAGGTTTGAATCCTACCTTAGGCACTTGTCAGCTGTGATCTCTAAGCAAGTCACTTAATTAACATCCCTGGGCCTCAGTTTCCTTATCTTATTAACTATGAAATGACTTACTGCATCCCTTTTTGGTAAAAATGCTCATTTCATATTGATGTTTTTCTGGAAAACTTTCCCCACAAGCATTTAATTTCTAGTGGTGTTCTGTATTAACGCAAACTAAACTGCCCAACTCACAGCAGTAATCATATATAGTTCGTTATCAGTGATTCAAGAAGTGTGCCTGCAATATTGATGAATATATCCTGGACATTCTTCATTAAGAACTTTATTGAACCAATTCCAAACAGTGGGAGGGATTTAAGCAATTAATCTGAAGTCTGTTCATTTTGTTCCCACAGAGATTAGTACTGAAGAACAGCTCAGGCGTTTGCAAGAAGAAAAGTTGTGTAAGATCTGCATGGATGAGAATATCGCTGTCGTTTTCATCCCTTGTGGACATCTGGTTACTTGTCAACTGTGTGCTGAAGCAATTGACAAATGTCCGATGTGTTACACTGTCATTACTTTCAAGCAAAAAATTTTTATGTCGTGATTGCATCAGTCTAGTTGTCCTATTCGCTTGACTATGTGATATGAAGCCCACTGGAGTGGCTTTGGACGAAATGTGAAGGAAGAAATAATACCCGCAATGATAACTTTTCCTAAAAACCGAACAGGTTTATTCCTTGAAATGTCTTTGAAACCTTAGTGTAGTATCTTTCTCCTTTGTTTTCTTATTTCACAGTAAGCAGTAGTGTAAGAAGCTATCCCCAAACTGACCAAAGTGTCTGCTTCTAGGTGTGCTACTTCCTATTGACTTGACTGTGTGACATAAAGCCATTTGAGTGGCTTTTGATGATATCTGAAGGAAGAAATAATGCAGACAATGATAACTTTTCCTAAAAACTGAACAGGTTCATCCCTTGAAATGTCTTTGAAGCCTTAGCATATCATCTTTATCATTTGTTTTCTATTTCACAGTAATCAGTAGAGTAGGAAGCTATCCCCACACTGACCAAAGTGTCTGCTTCTAGGTGTGCTGAATGAGTGTCAATGTAAGGGGCTTAATCAACTGGGAATTATTGTCTTAGAAAAGACTTGGTAAACACCTCTGAGTCACTGTAGAGATAGTGATTAACTTGACCAGTCTGACTCTTTTTTTTTTTGTTAATAAAAGGAAGAAACTATCCAGGCAGTCTTGAAATAAGGCTAATTTGTAGATATTCCATATAGTTTTTCTTTTAAGTAATAATGAGAATTAAAACAGAAGTACCAAAGACCAAACATATATGAGAATGGTGAAAGAAAAACAATTCCTTTTGCTATTTAAGTAATTATTTATGACTTAAAGGCTTAATTGTGTTCAAACACCTACAAATATTAATTGTCACTCAGCATTGGTTTTCCTAATTCTCCCAAGAATGGAAAGCTTTTCCTTTTAGATTGGTATTGAAAAGCTTTAAGCATCTTTTAGCACATCGTAGAAAAAAAAAAGAAATTTCCCCCAGTCTCTTGTTTCCAAGTCAAATATTTCTGATTTCCTAAAGTTGAGGATGGAAAAGATTCCTCATTCATAAGTAAAACACTGAACACTTTTCTCATTTAAGCCTGCCTGAGTTATTCTCCAGAACTTTCAGAAGATTTTTATTAACCTGGTGTAAAACCTGGCAGCCAAGGTAAGGAAAAGTAGAATAATGTTTGTTCTCTGATTGCCTGCCAGCCCCAGTGGGAAATGGTCTCTTTCTCCTTTGAACTCCCAAGGCACCTCACTGTAAACTTTCACGCTCTACCCTTGTATTTATATTTATTTGTGAACTTGTCTTAGTTTCCCAGCTGGACTCTGTATTCCATGAAGGCAGGGAAGGCTTTGCATCTTATCCTTTATATTTCCTGCAGAGCATAGCATGAGGCCCTGGGCATACTAAGTGCTCAATAAATACTTGTTGTTTGGCAAATATGATTATATTATTGGCTTTTAGTGCAACTATTTTAATGTCACCTGCCCTCTCTTTCTTCCTGTTGTGAGCACCCGTTAAGTGCAGTTCCAATGGTGTTCAAAACTACCAGTGCCTTGGACCCTGGGGCATGTAATACTTGGTGGGGAGGGGAGTACTAGTTATAAAAATCAGAAGTACAGACAAGGACATAACAAAACAAACAGATCTTTATGTATTGGCAAGATTGCATAAAAGCATTCCTGAATTAAGAATACTTAACTATAATAATGGAGGTTGCCTAATGCTCTAAGGAGTACCTCAGGGGCTTGCATTAAGAGAGCCTCCTGGTGCAACACTTGACATTGAGGCATTTTACTGCACAGAAGAGGTTCAAAATACAACCATTAAAGCTGTTATTCAAAATATATTTTGCAAGGGAAAGATTAGTCATGCCCTCCTCCGAACTTCATCTGATGTTGCTTTAAGTTAGCTTTGCACAGTGTTAGGTGAGATTTTTCAAATAAATAGCTTTCTTCCCTGTTGTTCTTACTCCCTAAATCCTGTCTTCCCCAAGTCTGCATTGTCTTCGATTTAAGCTGAGTTATGTATTTTGTTTACATATTACATATATCTAAGTTTATTAATCCTTTTAAGGAGGAATAAGTGTTAAGGTTCATGTGTTTTTTTAAAGGAAATTTTAAGTGCTGGGGCCTAACACTTAGAGTTGAACTTAGTTATTAGTAAAGGGCTAGATTATTTGAAGAGGGGGGGGAAGACTTTTCCTCTTCTAAGAGCCTAAGTTGAGTTAAACTGTGGGTTCTTTAGAAACCTATATGTTTAGAAGAAAGTAGGGGTTGGTTGGGTTTTTTTTTTTAGAAGCAGGCAAAGACTGTTATCATGAGTGGTGACATTTAAAGCTAGTGTGGTGGCTAACGAGTTCTATTTTAGGAGTTGTTTAGAAAATACTGTTGCTTTGGGTTCTTCAAGTCACTCCAGCTTCCAATCCTATTATTTTAAGACTTTGGTGTATTTGGCCACTTGTGATAGGGGAGGCGGCAGGGTGGTTTAGAGAAGAAAGTGATGGATTTGGAGCCAAGAGGCCTAGGTTTAAGTCCTGGCTCCAATACTTTGTGACCCTGGGCTAATCACATCAACTCTTGAAGCCTCAGTGTCTACAACTGTAAAATGGAGATGATAATATTTTACTCTAAATACCTCTTAGAGTTGTGGTAGGGAAGGCATTCTGTAAACCATAGGCTACTACAACAAACTCACCATATTTCAAAGATGTCATTTCATCAGTGAGAATACTTTATCCACCAATGCCAGTCGTAAGCTCTCCACAGCTTAGAGCTGCTTGAGCCCCAAAATGAATCCCTCTGTGGCCAGCCTAGTGTTAAGCTGCTCTGAACCTTGCTAGGCTAGTCCTTAGACAAGAGACCAAACATTCCACCATCAGACCCATCCTTGAAGCTTTCCAGGCTTGATGTAAATAATTGTTAACAGTTGGTTGATAAAACATTATCTATAGTTTATAAATAGCAGTTCTTCATATTAGTATGCTAATCTTAAAATAGCAATGTGTGATTTCAGTGTTGTATCTCAACTTTTTAGAAGTAGTTATTATGATAGGACAAACAAGGCCAGGTTTAGCATTCATCTGTAGTTTGGATGGTCTTTGTTTGCTTGTTTTCTTAAAAATGCATCTGTTTGTTAGAGAAAACATTTATTTCCTTATTACCTCAGTACTTGAAGAGCAGAGTGGGGAATAGCATTCATTATGTAGCATTTCTTCTGGAGAAATAAGTAAGTGGGATGGACTGTCAGCCAAACAATGACTCTCTTGGTCAAACCACTAAAAAGATAGCAGGATATTGTTAGGCACTGCAGAAAAGGAAGGAGAATATCATTCTCTTATCCAACTGGCTTTAAGTATTCCCTCAACTTTGAGACTGAGTTTCATAGATATGCCTTCCCAGATATGAAGGTCATGGGATTATAGACTTAGAGAGGGAAGGAACCCTAGCAAGCTATCAAGTCCAACCCTGGTACTTCACAGATGAGGTGATTGAAACAAAAGAAGTCATGTGGCTTGCCCAGGGCCATACTGCTACTAAATGAGAGGCAGGATTTTAAGTAGGGTCTTCCTAAATTCAACTCCCAGTGCCCTGTCCACTCAAACTCAGAGAGAAATAGGGGTCACATATATAAGGATCCCAGTGAGCCATATATAGACTTAAAAAATCACATATTAACATTATCTGTGTTCTATTTTATTTTTATTTATTTCATTAAACATTTCCCAGTTATATATTAATTTGGTTCAGGCTGCACCCAGGAGTGTTGCGGGCTGCATTTCCACATGTTTGACACCCCTGCAGTATACCATGCTGCATCTCTCATCATCCTACATCCTGCCTATTATATCTCCCTTTATTGGGATTGCACTGGAAAGGAAGAGGGACAGCCATAGCATGGTGAATAGAGTTCTGACCTTAGAATCAGTTAGACCTAGTTTCGGGTTCTGCTGCTGACAGACCCTGTCTGGGCAAGTCATTGTATCTCTCCATGCCCCAGGCTACTCGGAGACTAGAAGTTGCCAGGTAAGTGCTGACCTGTGCTGGTGGACAAAGGGCAGTCCCTCCAAAATACTTAGAGCATCTATCCTGTAGGATTGTTGTGAGGTTCTAATGAGTACCATAAATGTTTTTCAAACTTTAAAGTGCTATAGAAATGTCACTTGTTATTAAGGCAGAATCCTTCTACAACACCTTAATGTCCCCCTGTAGATATGTCAGTGTCACTGCTCCAAGCAGCCTTGCTCCACATTTTTTTAAGGGCTGTATGAACTAGAAGGGCCCACTCTTCAGAATAGTGCTATTACAATATTCTTACTATTCTCCTGGAAGCAGGAGAATCAATTGGTCTAGGCCTTTTAAAGGTTTACATGTTATATGATCATCAGCATTTCGAACTAGAAGGGACCTTAAACGAGCTAGTCTAACTCCCTCCTTTTACATTTGGGGAAGCTGAAGCTCAGAGAGGTGAACCAACCTGGCCACAACCACGTAGATGGTAAACAGCATAGCCAGAATTATACCTCTGGTCCTTTAAATCTGAATCTACTAGTCCCCACTATACCAGTGCCCACCATCTTAGGTTGTTTTTATTCTTTGTGGCAGTGACTTTTTGCCTTAGATTTTAATATAACTTCTTTGTGTAGGAGCTAAAATATGAGAATCAGATTCATTTTCTTTAAATTTCAAACCTTAATTTTTTCCATTCATCTTGGTTTTGAGTTTTCCTGATTGCTATAATTGTCTATTCATCCATCAGTTTTTATAAAGCCAGTTTCATTTTGACCTCTGTACACCTGGCCATACCCCTTGCTTTACACCAGTAAGGCTCATGTTCTGAAGTCTTTTTTTTAAGTATGTGTAAAATAATATGCTTTTTAATTGTGCTGTTCTTATTCTCTATTTGATAAATATCATCAAATATAAACATTTCTATATACCCAAGAACAGAAAGAATTGAACATGAAACCAATCAATCAATAATCAATCAACAAATATCAGGTGCCTACTATGTGCCAGGCATGTAGAGCTAGAGATACAGGAAGAGGCAAAAGACAATCCCTGCCCTCAGGGAGCTTACAATTGAATGAGGGAGACAATGTGCAAATAAATATATACAAAGCAAGCTATATGCGAGATAAATTAGAAATAATTATAAAGAATATAATACATTAAACACTGTTAGTTTCAAAACTGTCCTGTTTGTCTCTTAGAACTCCCTTCTGTTCTCTTCTGTGCATTTTTAAAAATGCTACCATGACCCTCTTGCTTTTCTTGTTTGTTTTTGGCATTGCTGCTGGTAGTCCTACTCTTTCCCAAATCCCTCCCAAAACTGAGTGGTGGGGTGGGGAAGCCTTCCCTTATAACAAATAAAAAGAGTAAAGCAAAACGTATCTACACATTGGCCATCTCCAAATATACATTAGTGTATATCTCAATCTTTTCCATAAGTCCCCTGCCTCTCTGTAAGGCTCTGGAGTAGTAGGTGGTCACTACATTGATCAGAGTTCTTAAGTCTTTCAAAGTTGTTTCTCTTTACAGCGTTGTAGTTATTGTGTTCATTGTTTTAGTTCTGCTCATTTTGCATCGGTTCATATGAGTCTTCTCATTTTCTCTGAATCCATCCCTTTCACCATTTCTTAAGGCACAAGAATTTATCCTTAAATGAAAAAATAAAATGTAATGCATTCTTATGTATTATTGGTCATTTTTCTTTATAGTTGTATAAATGTACTTGCTAATTTTGGTTTTCAGGAATTTCAAGTTTTAATTTGATATAGCCAAGGCTTTTACATAATTTCTTGTATTTGTTATTAACAAAATGATATTAACCCAATAGATTTTTACTGAATCGTGCATTAGTTTAATTTTTTTGAGTAATCACATTAAACATTTTAAAATAAAATACTATATTGGTGCATATAACTATTTTAAAGTTATTTTAAAACTTTTCTGTATCAATGGAAAGATCTTACTGATTTGGAAAAGAGTTCTTCCTACGATATACAAACAACATTTGTAGATCAAGATAATACAATGTATTTTTAGGTTTATAAAGCATTCAATAATTAAAATATTGTATCCTTTCAAAAAAGGTCTCCTGTGATTTTGTGGGTTTTACTTTGAGGCAAAACCAGATTAGACCTTTTAGTAATAGCTCATCATACTTTACTGCTTATATACATGTTCCCTTTTCATCTTCGAAATGCTATAATGAGTCAGGTAGTGACAAATATTGACTCCATTTTACAAATGAGAAAAATGAGGTCCAAAGAAGTTGTGTAATTTCCCTAAGATCATAGAACTATTAAAGTGGTAGAGCCCTTCCCAGGTGTTCCGACTCCCCAAATCCAGTGATTGTTTCTTGTACCATGCTGCCTCTCTTTAAAACCTGAATCGTTACCTCCCCTATCATATGCTATATTATATCATTATGCCAGTGCTGTACATGTGAGTTGATGCCTCCATTCCCAGATTCCATGGCTACAAAATGAAAATGGTCATACTGCCAGTCACCCAGTTACCTGCCTTCCAAGGAAATCATGAAGAACAACCAAAAACACAGGGAGAGAAGATTGCCTGTATTTAATACCTAGCCATGGTGAGATAAGTGATGAGTACAGGAAATTGGTTATGTGTGGTTGTTTAGCTGTTTTTCAGTCGACTTTTCCTGACTCCGGGCCCAGGCTCTATTCATTGCACCACCTACCTTTGTATTTTGAGGGCAAGGACTGCTTTTCCTTTTTGTCTTTCAATACCCCACACCTGGCACAGTGTGTCATAAAAATTTCTGGAATTAAATCGATGAGGCTAGGGATATCTGATGGGTATCTGATGTTTTGTAGTTTGGTATTCCTTTTTTTATGCCTTACCTGAGATTAGTGATCAGAGAATCATCAGACAAGGTTTCTCTTATTTCTTTTTCAAGGAATCCTGAATGATTTTTATGTACGAATAGGAGATTCTTTGTTGGAAGGGAGCCTTTAAGGCAGCCCTTTGCTTGGCCAAATAAAATGCTTTTTTATAGTCAATAAACAATAAGCTCAGTAGGCTTCTCCACATCAGATGTGTAATGATAAAGATGTAGTCTTCTGTGGAATTATGCTTATGAAAGCCTCCCTGTTCCCTACCAATACCCTCATTGAGGATACCCTGGATGGGTTTATGGATCATTCTCATAAAAATTTTAAATAGATGGAAGAGTAGGCATATAAGGTCAGTAGTTGTTAATGTTCTTTTCAGTTGCCTCTTAAAAATTTTTTTTGCATTAGTAAGGTCTGAGATTTTTTTTTCTTTTAATATATTTTAGGTATTTTTTTTTTGTCAATCTCTCGGTTGTCCTCATAATTGTCATTGATTGTCACCTCCGTACAAATTTCCTCTATTTGGTTGAATCTAGCTGCTTTTCTTATCTTGTTCTTTTTAGTTCTATTTCTACTTTCTCGATAAACATATCTGTGACTGTGATGTTAGAATCCAAGTGTGACTGAACTATCCCTGATGTGAAAAGACTTCCAGTTGTCTTTGTTGTTCTTCCCTTTTCATTCTTAGGTGCCCTTGGAATGATTTTGTTTGGTTGGGTCTCACCAAGCTTTCGTTAAACTGATTTTACCTTCCACTCTTTCTCACTTTTATTGAAGTGATACTAATAATCTTCCACTATCTTTCTCCATAAGATCTTACTCACAAGTTTATATTATGAATTTGTGTTGCCCTTAGCCAGCACCTCTCTCTGCTAGGCAATTAAGACCAGTGTTTGCTGCATAACATGCTTTTAAGTTCTTTTGGTCTCCCTGTTATAGCATTGTTTAATAAACTTCTGTATAAAATGGTAGTCAGTGTTCATTTCCCATTTTTTATCATTGCTTATTTACTCAGATCAGGTTAGAGCTGGTTCAGTTGAATACCCTATATTTTTTTTTGTTTTTATTCTTTAGTGTTTTTTGTTTTTTATTTTTAAAAATAAAAATTTTAAAAATAAAAAAAAAAGTTTTATTTTTGCTCTCAGAAGTTGGTGGCCTGCTTGCACATAAGGAGCTGACTCAGGAATGATTCCCACTCTAGTAAGGAGTCATTGTCTGTTAAAATATAGTTCCCCAAAATTGGCGAACAGGTAGATTAAAGTGACAAGACAATCACCTCGAATTGCCAAAAATAAATTTTATCTCAGGGTTTATTTTCCTTGATCATTTAAGTTGATTGAGGGAGGGAAAGGAACTACCCAATTTGTCACATTTCTTCTGCTAAAATTTCCTTTTTTTCCATGAAAGTTTTTGGAAAGCAGATAAATATTTATACACCAGGATTTGGAGTGTAGGAATTGGGGTGCTGTCTCATGTTAATAAAAATAATGGGTTACAAAATCAAACATTATTACTTGAACCTCATAAAGCACTTTACACCTCTTTGAGGAACTCACTCATCATGTAACATTGTATATTATCTGTGTTGATAATTCTTCCTCCTCTTAGACAATGAACTCCATTGAGAGCAGTCACTCTGTCTAAACATGTATCTCTCTGTCATTGCTGGGCAAAGTGCTCTACACACAAAGTTAACGTTTGCTGAAGTACCGTGTGCAGGGCACTATGAATAAGTTGATGAAACTGATTTCTTCAGTGCGGACAGTCTCTCTATGCCTTTTTATCCAGTCCATGTAACTCCATAACTCCTCCATACAGGATTCAACCATTGAGTTAGAGGCTTTCCTCTAGTACTTATATCTTAAGTTTACCAATGGAGTACTGTGGTTGTCTGTCTGTTATCTCTCATTGGTTCTTACTACCTAACTACCAGTGGATTCAGAAATGATTGAATGACTGAATCCCAAAGAGTAGACACTAATTGGTTGATGTCATCTTGGAAGGAGATCCCTAGAGTGCCCCAGGAATTTATCCTTGGCCCTGGGGATCCTCTATAATTTTTTTCACTGACTCAGATGAGAGCATTAGATGGTATATTTGTCAGGTTTGCAATTGGCATAAAACTTAGAGGGGTAGCTAACACCAAGATCACAGTTGGGATCCAGAAGATTTCAACAAACTAGAACAATAGACCAAAGTCAGTGGGATGAAATTAAGTTCTACACTTAGGTTCCAAAAGTCAATTTCACAAATATAGGATACGGAAAATATCCAGATAATTCCTGTGAAAACATATTTGAGGGTTTAGTGGACTACAAGATTAACATGGTCAGGGCAGTTAGGTGGTGCTGCAGTGCATAGAGCATTGGGCCCACAGTCAGGAAGACTCATCTTTGTGGGTTCAAATCTAGCCTCAGACACTTACTAGCTGGGCAAGTCACTTAACCTTTGTTTGCCTCAGTTCTTCATCTATAAAATGAGCTGGGAAAGGAAATGGCAAACTACTCCAGTATCTTTGCCAGGAAAACCCCAAATGGAGTCATGGAGAGTTAGACATGACTGAAACAAATGAACAAGAAGAATATGAGTCCAATCTCCAAAAGTCTCATGATGGAAAATGCTATCCACATCCAGAAAAACAACTATGGAGTTTGAATGCAGATCAAAGCATACTATTTGCTCTTTTTTTTCCCCTTCTGTTTTGTTTCTTCTTTCTTGTGGTTCCCCCTATTGGTTCTAATTCTTCTTTACAACATGACTAATATGAAAATGTTTAATAGGAATGTATATGTAGAACTTAGATTGCATGTTGTCTTGGGAAGGGGACGGAGAGGGAGAAAATTTAAAACTCAAAAGCTTATGGAAGTGAATGTTGAAAACTAAAAATAAATTAATAAAAAAAGAATATGAATGTATAATGCAATATGGCAGCCACAAAAGCTAACCCTAGCCTAGGCTTTATTAAGAGATAAATATTTGTGGGAGCCCAGAAAAAACTCAAGTTTTTTGGGCCTAGCCCTTCTGATGACAGGCTGTTTGTGCTCCTTGATATGTCCCACTCCCTTCTCCTGTCTGGTACTCTAGTCCTGCCCTTTCTCTAGAGTTTACCATATCTGGCATCCTTGCTGGAAA